AAACTGGATAATTTCTGTGCACCGATATTATCATTTCTTATGACGATGCTTTCCATGTCGACTCCCAGACTTTTCAGTAAATTATTGACGTGTATTACTTCTTTGGTTGCATCGGATAACGCAATGTATTCAGCTTCTGTCGGGTGCCACTGATTGTTTCTTTCTCGACTCCCAGCTGATTGCTGCATCGTCGATTTAGAGAAACGTTCTGTCGATATGGCAACTGTCCCAATCCGCATCCGTAGACATCACCGGACGTTCGTTGTTTCGAGAATACACCAAGTGCAAATTTCTTTTAAATAACGCAATATCCTCTTCGCCGTCTTCCAATGAGGTTCTCTATAACAGTTGTTAAACTGACTAATACCTATATAGCATGAGTTATGCCCGGTCTTGTTACCACGGAGAAGTACATCCGCTCGCCAAGTAGTTCTCGGTAGTTGATGTGCTTTTGACAAGAGCCTTCTTTATTCCTTTTAACTTAACTTAATCAATCAATCAATCATTTTATTTTTCCATGTATACTACATATAAGAGTGTAGGAACGTCACAAAATAAATAAATAAGTAGATAACAAACAAATACGTGCAATATAGCGGAAGACTGAAGTACATAGAGCGTCTTATGAATTGGCGAGATATTCTTTAATACTGTAAAATGGAAGGTCAATGAGGAACTTTTTTAGATATCTTTAAAATGGGCGAGGAGAGGTCAGATTCTTGGCTTCTTGTGGAACGGTTGAATAGCTTTATCATCATATATTTTGGTGGTTCTTCAAATAGCGTTGTGCTGTGCGGTGCGGAGGTACAGTGGGGTTGTTGTGGTAGCAGGTTTTCATGCCCTGGTTGATATCCTCGTTTGTAGTGAAAGTCGATTTATTCTCAAACATATATATCAAACAATTATATATGTATAGGGAATAAATGGACATGATCCTTAGTTGCTTAAAGAACGGCTGGCAATGATCGTGTGAACCTGCGTAACAGATACGGCGGATCATATTCTTCTGCAGGACGAGAAGTCTGTGCGAGGCAGAAAGAGTAGCCCCAGGTGATGATAGCGTATGATAGGTGGCTACGTACGTGCGTTGAGTGAAGGATATTTAATTACTCACAGAATTGCGTAACTTGCAGAACGTAGTTTGTTAGAGATGGACGATATGTGTGGTGCCCAGCTGAGGTGTGCAGTCATCATGACTCCAAGGAACTTTTCATTGGAACGTTGCTGTAGGGGCTAATTATCCATGTATGTGACTGGGGCATTGTAATTTCGAGAGCGTATGTTGCGATAGAACATTACGGCAGCTTTCTTATCGTTCAGTTGTAAACGATTGGATGTACACCATTTCGTCATTTTGTCAATCGCCATAGTGGCCGTACCCTCCAGGGTGTTTAAGTTGTTATATGAGATGATTAGCGACGTATCGTCTGCATATTTACACAGTGAGACATTTGCGTTCATAACCGCGTAGTCCAAATCGTTGACAAATATGATGAAAAGTAGAGGTCTAAGCGTTGATCCTTGGGGTGTACCAAGATGTTGCCTGTATGGCACTTTTTCGTTGCCATTAGCGCTCGGTATTTCTACAAATTGGGATCTCCCCTCAAGGAAGGAGTGAGTCCAGTTGTATGCATTCCCAATAATTCCATATGACTCCAATTATTGTCAAGTAGTAATTGATGATTGATGCAATCAAATGCTTTTGACATGTCAAAGCGAGTATCAAAGTAACGGGCGATCAAAAATGAGTTGCTGTCGAGTCGCCTTTGGAAGTTCAAATTAAATATGATTTTCCATATAAACAAAAATTCCAATGGTAACTCGACAGCAACTCATTTTTGATCGCATTGTATATGCCCATGGTATACAGCTTGCAGTCCAGCGCGTCGTATATGGCATTGATAGAGTCAAATAACCCCGTGATGGTAGATTTGCGTTTAACAAAGCCGTGCCGAGAGGGACACAGCAGTTGATATTTCTGGAAATAATCATAATTATTAATTCGATTAATAATTCGATTGGCCGTGCATTTCTCAAATACCTTGGAGAATGCTGACGCAATCGATATTGGGCGATAGTTGGTTACATCCTAGCGGTCACCCTTCTTGTGCACTGGAATCACACGAGAAACCTTTAGGGCATCCGGAAACTTGCCACTTGAGAAGGATTCATTAATTACGTGCGCGAGTGGCCTGCTGATAAGGGGGGCCACACGTTTTAATATAAATGGTGGTATATCATCCGCGCCCATCGCGCTTTTGTTTAGGGTGAGTAGTATGTTCAGTATTTCGCATTCAGAAACTGGCGTCAGGAAAAAAGATGAGCTTCTAACTTTGAACGGATAGTGGTGGTAGGTAAGAGGTGGTAGCCGATCGAACTCTTCCTCAATAGATTTCGTGCTGTTATTGAAGTAGTCACTGAAAATATTGCATAGCGGCGCTGGGTCAGTTATCCTGTCGTTGTTATGCTTGATTTTTAAGCACGTTGGATTTTGTGGTACGCTGCGCGTTAAGTTGTTTAGTAGTTTTCAAACAGCTTTATTAGTGTTGTTAGATGCAGTTATGAATCGATCGTTACTAGCTCGTTTTGCTGCGTTAATTATTTTTGTGTATTTGTATTTAAGTAACTTGTACTTTTCCAGTATGACCAGGGCTCCTGTTTGTTTCCATAAACTGTGGATAAGTTTAAGTTGACAGCTCATTGCACGTATTTCGGGCGTTTGCCAGTTACGGGACTTGCCAGTATGACAGTAGATTTCGTGTTGGGAAACGACATATTGAAATAAAATTGAAAAGATTCAAGAAAACAGTTAAATTTACAGTTTACATTGTTGTATTCGTACACGGTTTCCCATATCGCATCGTTGCTTAAATATTTGTAAAGTTTTGCAATATTATTGTGTGAGTACACCTGTTTGATAACCTGGTCATCGCTTTTATGCGAATACTGATATTCGATTAATACCGATATTACCATATGATCCGAGAAACCGCAGTCACTCACTCACCAGTCGATCATCCCAAACCTCTTGATGATGCTGTCAATGTAACCCATCTCGCTTAATGCGATGTAATGTTCCTTCCTCCAATCAAATTCGATTCTTAAACAATATTTTACATCCCCCAAATCCTTTATCTCAAAATTACGTCGCAGATGTGAGATGATCTTTGCATCGATTAATTTTTGCTTCGCTTCATGACATAATTAGAATGTCGTGGACGTAAATGATGATGTAGCTGGTAATGTACACTTAAGAATCTGCATCCGAAGCAACAGCTCCTAGATTTCGAAGTTTTTTTTCGTTCAGCCGATCGTTCCAGCATGGTCATCCGTAAAGACCCTTATTAAGAAAACACACTTTGTCGCCCTTTTGTTTTTCCTTTATCGTATCCTTCGCCTCCGTTTTAACATGCAAGTCCTCTTTCTCGGTTTTTACAATATGCTTCGGAGTTTCTATAAAAATAGGTTCTATTTGAATAAGCGGTCGAAATTAGCAAAAGCTACCGCAACAGCAGGTCGTATTGATGCTAGGAGCAAATGTTTCATGGAAATCAATGTCTGGTTCCAAATCTTCACGTTACCACGCAAGCTTTGCATTTGTCGATAGTGCAATCACCTTTAAATTTGTTTCCTAGAATGAATCTGCTCCCAATACTTCACTGACCATGCGGTCTGTTCATCACTTGCCATTTTTCTTTATTGATAATATATTTTACTTCAGAAACCATTGCATCTTACCACTCTTTGGAAACAGGGCCAAAAGGACCTCAGAAGTGGAAATTTCGGCGGCTTCTGCAACTGCCTAGTGCCTCTTGTATGTCAATTTGACGTGCGTATTCTTTTCGTGGCCGCAAAGGTAGTCCAGTTCTAATAATTCTAGAACACCCAGGCGCCTATAAGTATAACACAACGCGAACAAGTCCTACAATTGTTTAAATATACCTATTTTACACTTACTTACTTACTTGTAACTTGTTACAATTGTATAGTTTGTGTTATAGGCCCCAGGTCGTCGAACCGGCGTTGTGTTGTTCGATCTTCTTCGATTTGAGGCAATTCCCTAAACTATTCTTATACCTCCTTCTCTTCGAAAGGAATGCTATATCATGTCCGCATCATTCTGTGACTGAAATACGTCATTTTCATTTGCAATCAGCTCAACTTTTTCGATAGGGTCCTTGATAATTTCGACATCAGACCGATCATTTTCGACGATCACACTATTAATAGGCGTTCGGTCAATTTCGAAGAATTATACGTCCCTTGTGATTTTGATCTAATCTCGAAGCACATTTTCATAAGATACACGTAGTACCCACTCCATACTGTAGTTGCAACAACTCTTCCCTCGGCGATTTAAACAATTTTTTCTTAAAATGCTATAGATATTATAGATCAACAGGAACCTATTAGAAGAGCTGAATAATTTCGAATTTCTCATTGTAATTACCAATATCAAATTTAGTAGCTTCTTTTGACAAGAAAATATATGATCTGCTGGTGATGTTTGTATGGAAGGAAAACATTGATTTATAAAAAATTATGTGTCAACTCGTAGTTCAAACTGATGAAAAAAAAGATAAAATACACCACGATATGAGATAACACGTATGGGATAAATATCTCTATTATAGGGCTTGTTACCAGGGCTCTTTTTAGCAGAATCTGCCAAATTCACCCTCTAAATCATTTTTAAAAACCATTTTACTTTACGATATAGCGAAAACACGAAATCCGCATAGGTGACCTACGAAGCAAAACGGTATTTTGCATGGACTTCAGACGAAACACTAGTGACATTATACTGGACCTTAGAAATTTAATAAAGCCAACGTGCAACTGGTGCACACTTTAACGATGTGTTTTTAATAACATGTCTTACTTCCAACCCCATATATAGGTATTTTTGCGTAGTCTATCTCCGGTAACGTGAATCCGTTATCAAATGCCAGTATCAAAATAATACATACAAGAATTATTTTCAATAATCGTAACGTGAAAGAGGCGTTAAGAAAGATTTATTATTCAAAATAAGCATTACCTAAAATGTGAAATCATTAAAAATCCATGCAAAAATGCTTAATTTGTTACAGCCACTGCGCAACATTTTAGTATTATAGACTGTGAACGGAACAAACATTATTGATTATTAATTTCTCGAGCAGGCACCTAATTACAGACTTTAATTTCAAATTTTGTGGTGTTCTTGAGTAACATTGACTTTATGTTCTTCTTCCATGTGCGATAAACAGATCGTGCTCTACGTAATATTCTTTCTCGCCATTTGCACCATTGCCCGTACCAATTTGATCAACATGATCCGCAATGAACTGTTTTTGCAAGTGGCTTGGGATGCAATCATAATGCCCAAGTATTGAAACGAAGTAACCTAAAATGAGTTGCTTTTATTCATTAAGAGAGTAAATAATTATTGACTCACGTTCTATTCCCGTCCTACTATAATTGCCAAGTCGAGTTGTATTTACTTCACAATGAATGTCTTTAAATCCTGTATCACGTAGAATACTAGTGAGTTCTTCTTGGGGGTTCTCCGACTTGTTAAAAGCTGTATTTCTACGGTACGTCTTAGGGATATATGGGGAATAGACTTCTAAGTCACAAACTTTGTTGCATATGGCAGTATTCTTAGATTTGGCGATATACGTCACAAGAAAGCTTCCGTTGGGTTTTAACATTTTTAAAATGTTGGAATACAGTAACCTGTAAGAATATACGAAACGATATTAACAAGTAATCGTGCAAAGATGACGCACCTACCTTTGATCGGGGATGCGGTGGAGTGTCATGAAAGAAAATATGTAATCGAAACGTTCTACAAAATCTTCGGGAACAGGCTCTGCTGCATTGACCACCTTAAAGTTAACTTGATCATTTGCGTAAGTTTTTTGAGCATGCTCTATCATAGGAACAGAAATATCAACTCCAATTATTTCATCGATCTCTTGCTTTACGTAGGGTAGGATTACATCATGCGTGACTCTGCCTGGACCGCATCCGATATCTAGCGCCGATTTATTATTGTTGTTTCCATGGCGAATTTTAGGAAGGTATTTATCTAATATACTTTTGTAATATTCTATGTTATGGGGAGTGACGTGCGTTGAATATAGGTCAGGTTTATTCATCCTTTCTTGATGTGAAGATGTTGCCAGATCGAAAGAAATCTAAAAAAACATGGAGATTAAATTTGACCCTAACTAATATCAAAAATTTAAAATTTTAACATGATGAAACGGGTCAATCATTGTTTCTCTTGAAACAATGTCACACAAGATTTCGATCGTATAAGAGAAACAAAAATTTAGTACCTCTATTTGATCGAGAAGTGCAGAAACAAATAAGCAAAATTAGCCGTGATGAAATGTATGATTATGCAGTCGAAATTGTGAAAGATTTTATCGATGTAAGTAAGTTCATAGTACCAACTTATTTACTCCTAGCGTTGAGTGAACGATGAGTGAAGAATTAGGGAAGAACACTTGCAGATGTGTTGCACACCGACTCCCTCGGTACTGCGCAAACGCAAGCGCGCTTAAATTTGAATTTGCTTTAATGCGCTATTATATTTATAAATACAATGATAAAGCCTTCGGTCATCACTGTGAATTCCAGTTACATTATGACCTTGAAAGCAACCGTCATGATCCTTTACAGCATAATATCGAATAACCAACAAGAATTGTAACGTTATTAATGTTATTATTTATTATAATCAAAACCCTTCTACCATCATGGTGTACGGAAAATAAATTAACATATCAGATAAGTCACTATAAATCAAGCTATAAACTATGGTGCTCCATTTTTTCCTATCTCGCGTTAACTTCATAAGGCGCAGATAGACTAGTAAGTTACTTGCGACAATCTCGCGGGAGAAACTTGTATTTACTTACACTGTGAGTAATAAGTGTCGCGATAAACTATCGGGCAAGTTGGGTGATCCATTGCTGTCGCAAGTTCTCACAAGCACTTTTAGCTTCCGCAAATGCTGTCAGTTGATACCTAGCACTTGTTTTCGAGAACTTATCTCACATTATGGTGCCAATAGCACATCTAGTGTTGCCGCGGCTGTAGTTTTATGCAATAATGTGAAACACAAAAGATGTATTGGGTGAGAGAATGGATTTCAAGAAGAGAAAAGTATGGGGGCTACAATAAATTAATTGATGAGCTGCGAATCGGAGAATCAATCCCAACAATTTAAAAATTTTATTCGTATGTCAGCGGTAGACCTTCAGGAACTGTTATTACAAAATTAAAAAGCAGGATACTCATTTACGTGCCACAATATAATAAAACTCGCACGTTTACTCGCCAATATATCGAAACGAAATGGAAAGTTTGCGAGAACTTGGTGAGCTGAGCAGCACTTTTGCCTGTTTAGACTGGCAAGAAAAGTGTCGCAAGAATTCTTCCGAGAGTTCTGTCAAATGGACTCGCAATGCTTATTTACACTTACTTATTTACACTTAAGACAGTAGTGTCCGACAGTAAATCGCGCGAGTTTTCTTTCTAGTCTAAAGGCGCCTTTAGCCTCCTCCCATTCTATACCTTGATCTTGAAGTATTCTTGCTACTTAGGTACATATCTCATGTTGCCTGTATGCTTCCCCTTTTCTTCCTATTTTGAATTCCGGTGTTCCATATTATATGTTTCGCAAGCAGACTGTTTTCCATTCGTGCAAGGCGTCCAAATAAGCGTTTTAATTTTTGTCTATCAAAGGTCTCTATCAGAGCATCCACTTCTTTTTTTATCTTCTTACTACGAATTCCACCAACTCCCCTTACCCTTCGCAAGTACTTCATTTCTGTAGCATGTAGTCTGGTTTTTTGTGATTCATTCAGCACCCAACTCTCTCTCTACCGTAGGTCAATATTGGTCTGTAACGTTATTGCTGTAAGTAGATTTCATTAACTATTTCTAATTAACTGTTACAGTACTTACCGAAATAGTTCCTTTCTATCGCCTTTGGCATATTCTAGTCTATGAATTCCTCGAGGAATTCATAGCCATGTACTTGAAATGTAGATAACAACAAAATTCGTCTTGATAACATGGCATTATCATATACCTACTACACCTATTTACAATAGGTAAGCAGGTAAGCTAAATTATCTTCAATTATAACGTTTGCAGGTTATGTGTATATTATTTACCCTTACACTTGACAGTTGTACGCAAATTCAAATTTTAGCACGCTTGCGTTTGCGCAGTACGAGGGAGTCAGTGTGCAACACATCTGCAAGTGGGAAGAACTGCAACCGTATTGTAAATTTTCGTTCCATAGCGATATCTCACTCTTTTCTCACTCTCAACGTTTTCGCGCACTCCACCGTCCACAAGCTACGTAATGAGAGAGTGCTGCCACGTAATACATCGTCCGTAACCACACAATTTGTATCTGATAAAATTTAAATACACATTGATTATTGAATGTAATGTGTTTATTGTGCACTTCCTTTAGTACTTTAGACTCTACTAAATTCTCGCACATCGCCCGTGATAGTATTACAAGCATTTTACGACGCTTATTATTCAGAAAGTTTATGTTTGCGGCACGAGCGAGCTTGCGAGCGAGTGGAGCAAGTGACTCCGTGTGAATTAAGGGTTATCTGTGTTTTTTTACATATGCCGGTTATCATTTCCAATGCCTCCGATGGTTGCAAGGATTGCGAAATCTGTGAATTTTAGTCCCATTTTTCTTCGGAAAAAGCTGGCGGGTTGTGCCGTGCAGCCGGCCTAGCTCAGTTTGGTGGGAGTCCCGCCTTGAAACTGCAAGTTGTTTTTGAAGTAAAAGATGGCTGCAATATTTTTGCGAAGAAAAACAAAAAAATGGTTCTAAAAAGGCACACTTAAGAAATTGCACAGTGGATCCAGCGTTCGTTGCCATTCTAATCGTGATCCGGTCATATTATAATTTTTGAGTGGTTTTTAGGTTTCTGGGTTTTCCTTTTAAAATGAGTTGCAACATTTTAATAAAGCGTTTTCGTTAAAATGCGTTTTCGAACGAAATCTCAAGGTATTTTTGCAAAAAAAAGTGATTAGTTTGCGCCCAAAACTATATCAACATCGTGCTACGCACACATGGTCTACTCTCCATATTAAAGATACTAGTGAAAATGAAAATTTTCCAGCAGTTGAAATGGGAGACACAATAGTATATTGAAAGACAAGTGTTACAATGCGACCTATTGTAATACGACAATCTTGTGGCACGAGTGGCGACGCGAAGCGTAGCCACGAGTGTCCGCAAGATAGGAGTATAACAATAAAGCATTGTAACACGCGTTTTTCATACTATTTTTTCTATTTCGGTGCTTTAATTTAATTAAAAAAATCATTATCAGAAACTAAAGGGAACATTAGAACTAACATGTTTTATGTTGGGAACACTTTTTGTGCCGTTAAGTTTTAGGTTGGCAGCGTAGTAAGACTGACATTTTGAAGTTCAAACATGGAAGCTTAGACTATGAAAGAGAGGGGACCCGTAATAAAGAGCGCGCGCGTGAAGCAAATTGCGATCATACTGCCACCACCAGTGGCGCCCGCTCGGGTATTACATTAAGAAATTACAATTTATTTATACTGCCATCATGGTATGATGAACCTGTGTGTACAGTTGTCGGACATAATATGGGGTTCTTATTTAAATAGAGAGACAAAAAACGCGATAAACGTAAACATACGACCCGACTTTGATCGTTTCGGAAACTGGGTGCGTCATATAAGCGCAATATTATTGAAAGTATACTTACATAAGTATGTATATGTATATTACCACATATACCTTTAGTAAAATTCTGCACACTCCGTTTTTGAAGCGATCAAAACTGAAAAAGGGTAAATTATAAAAGAGTATAATGCACGGTATATGTTCCTTATGCTTCAATAACACTTTGCAACACATTTCGCTTTTAATTAATGCACACATCTTTCTGGTGAGGAACCCTGCAACGTATTTTACAATTTGTTCAATATTGCAGAGTTCATGCTTTTTGAACAAACATTTATTGCAATATCTTCCACTTCTATTTCATTGTTCCAATTAATTGAAGCATTAATTATTTGTTCGTTGCTTCCTTGCGACGGACAAGTTATATAGAATAGGGATTGTATCCAGAGGAATACAACTCTCCACCCCACTATCTCCCAACTCTGTTGTAATCAGCAAGCGTTTGTAGGTATATGCACTTTCAAACTGCCTTGAGGTGGGGTTGTTATTCTACCCATCCCTTGATCTTTTGGAAGAAGAAAATAATTCCAGATGGTTCTGGCTTATTTTAGGATCCTTCGCAAAAAATACATTGTCGTTTCCCTATGGTGCGTACTACCTGGGACACATTGTATCTTTTTCTTCCCGATATATCTGCTTGCTTGTGAATGGCAGTTAGCGCTTCTGATGTGAATCCTGGGGAACAATTGACTGATTTATACAATTTGCCGATGGTGCACACCAGTAGCATACACTGTTCTGACATAATTTTGCCCTTTTGGAGACAAATCATTAGGTTATACACTGTTTGCGGTTAAGTGCGGAGAACCAGGTGATGCACCAACAAAGTAATTAATGAACTGTAATCTATCTTGATTGATACACTTCTTATCAGTTTGGTTATCATGAAGGAAAATAAAGTACAACGTTAGTAAATAATTCTTATATTGAAAACTGTACAAATCTAATAAATGTACCTATATTCTTTTCCGAGTGAATCTTGAGGGCAAACGCAGCTGATGGTTTCAGAATGGGAAATTATTTCTAAACAAAATAGCAACCATAAAATAGAATAAATGAATTGGAATATTCACACGACAACAGGCTTTGGCAATAAAGCTCTAAGCAGTTTCTTGTACTTCAGTAATAAGCTGTTGATACTATAGCAAACCGTTGACGATGACAATATTGAATTGAGATGTCTTCTCCCCTAACGGGTTTAATCATAACGATCTTCCTTCAGGATATTTTGTCTTTATCGAATGTGGCGGCGATCGATGTGTATTGCTTCGAACATCGATCGATGACCTCTCTCTTTTGAAGACCAAATCCTATCTGTCGTACTACATGTAAGTACAAAGGCAACATACACTGTTGTTAAACTACTCCATACAAAGTAATCAGTCGCCTAAGGGTTAGGCATCCAAACATGTACATATCTGTTACGTCATA